AATTTACGTGCATACCTTTCACCGTAGCATCAGTCCTCAGTTCACTTCTTGGAACGAACATCAGCATAGGTCCAAGCCCTCTCGCTTGGAGGGATATATGCAAACAAACATCCTGATAGGTAAACTCGCACGCTACCGAGCATTCAACCGAGCACATGCATGCTTAGTTGAATGGTGAGATGCGACCCCCCTTCATTTCGTGCTCGGCAAGCCTGCCACCGTGTACCGGATATGTTGGCGATGTTACAGAGACGCTGCACCTTGGTTTCTGTGCGCAATGCATACGATGCTCGACCCCGCCGACCAAAACTACACGTGCCCAACTGACGACATTCACGGTGGTTGTGCAGCAGCTCTTGAGGCTGTTGCTGGCTGAAATCCATCCTGAGCTGTTGCAACACGGCTAACGCGGGCACGTCTCTATGCACAGCAAATAGCTGTTCCAAGCCAACAGCGGCGTCCATGTCACCAACAAGGCTCTAAACGTCTTATCTGTTCTTATGTTTAATTAAGTTTATGTATTTTATACTTTGCGCAACTTTGTAATTTGACTTTAGTCGGAACAAGGTGCTGTATGCGCTGCGCTGCAGAAAGCAGGCGCCTTTTGGCTTGCACACAACTGCCTCTTCGCCAGACGTATCCTCTTCCCGCGGCAGTTTCACGAGCCCAGTGTTGCAAGCTACGACGTAGGCTTTCGGTGCTTTCAGTTACTGCAAAGCAGCCACGCAATAGACTAGGCTGCATGCCGCGTGCGACTATGGCCATCGTGCCCACCTGCGCAACGCGCTGGCGCACCTCGTTTGCTTGCGCAAACTGCCGCTTCGCCAAACGCTTCCTCTTCCCGCGGCCGTTTCAAGCGCCCAGTCTTGCAAGCTACGTTGTATGCTTTCATATCTTTTCATATCTTATTCGGCTCAGGCTAAGCAGCCAGCCAAAAGTCCGAGATGCATGCCGCTTGTGACTGCGGCCAACATGCCCTGATGAGCGGCCTTTCGCCGAAAAAATTACATACACTTTTACAGGCGCATTTTGAGAATTGAACGCGCGCATCCGCACGATAAATTTCGCGCCTGGCTTTTGTGGCGTCATGTACGGTCTGTTTATTCGCGAAGTACGACCGGACACATTTGTGCGAGAGGCTGCTTAACAAGAGATGCGTAAACAACTTACAGAGCTTTTGCAGAAAGGTTACATTGAACCCTCTGCGTCGCCTTATGGCGCACCCGTCATCTTTGTGGAAAAAGCTAACGGGCAAGGCCTGCGTATGGTCCTTGATTATCGAGCTCTGAATAAACTTACGATCAAGAGACGGTATCCAATGCCAAACATTACCGAACTCTTCGATCAGCTCCAAGGGGCTAACCTTTTCAGCTCCCTGGATCTGCAGCAGGGGTATAACCAAATTCGCATCCCGAAAGAAGATATTGAGAAAACGGCCTTCATAGCACCGGGGCTCGGCCAGTATCAATTCGAAGTCCTATGCTTTGGACTAACCAATGCTCCTGCAACGTTCCAAGCAGTAATGAACCGTATATTTGCTGCGTACATTGGCAAATTCGTGCTAGTGTACTTGGACGATATTTTGGTCTTCAGTAAGACCCCCGCCGAGCATGAACAACACATCCGTACCGTGTTGTCCTTGCTAAGAGAGCACTAATTTAAGGCAAAAATGTCGAAATGCCAGTTCAACCAGACCGAGCTGCATTTCCTGGGTCACGTCGTCAGCCGAGAGGGGCTGAAAGTGGACGAGCGTAAGGTCAAAACCATTAAAGAATGGCCTATACCGACAGACTTGCAAAAGCTGCGTTCGTTCCTTGGCTTAGCCAATTATTTTCGAAGATTTATCCAAGGATATTCTTCTCTCGTGGCCCCCCTCACGTCACTCACCAGTGCGAAGGTGCCCTACCACTGGACGAAGGACTGTCAAGGCTCCTTCGAGGGCGTGAAGTCTGCCTTAACCAACGCACCAGTATTAAAACTCCCTGAACTAGACAAACCCTTCACTGTCTGGTCCGATGCGTCGTTACACGGCACGGGCGCCGTACTTTTACAGAACAACCGCCCAGTCGCGTACACAAGCTCTAAATTCAGCAGAGCTGAGTACAACTACACGACCACGGACCAAGAGTGTTTAGGAACTGTCCTAGCACTTGAAGAGTGGCGCTGTTACCTCGAGGGTGCATCGGATGTCACTTTAGTCACCGACCACCAACCGCTGGTCTATTTGCAAGATCAGCAAAGCGCCGATAAACTCTCTCGACGACAAGCTCGTTGGTTGGAACGCCTCTCACGTTTCGACTTTAAATGGGAGTACCGACCCGGACGAATCAACGTTGCTGACCCTCTCAGTCGGGTTCACGATGTGGTGCTGAACGTGCTTACGGCATCGCTGATTGGCAGCGATATTGGGCGCCGAATCCTAAGCGGGTACGACGGCGATCCCATGCTCAAGAAGAGCTCGGTAGCAAAACTGCAGCTTAAACGGAAAGACGGCTTCTGGTATTACGGTTCCCAGTTGTACGTTCCGGATGTGCTTGACTTGTGAAAGGACATCATCCACGAAAATCACGATGTTCCTTACGCTGGCCACCGCGGCATTGACCGCACCAAAAAAGCGATCGTGAAACATTTTTGGTGGCCCGGGTTGGATACTAACGTGAAGGCCTACGTTAGTACCTGCCCTTCTTGTCAGCACAATAAGGCTTCAAAAGCCAGGCGGACTGCTGCAGCCCCTTCCCATTCCAGATAACGTTTGGGATAGTGTGTCAATGGATTTGGTCACACAGCTACCCACAACCCGCAATGGGCATGACGCGATAGTAGTGTTCGTGGACCGCCTGAGCAAGATGACGCACTTCGCTCCCACAACCACATCCGTCGGTGTGGAAGATCTAGCCCGCCTCTTTGTGGCTACGGTTTTCAAACAGCACGGCCTTCCACAGAATATTGTGTCTGACCAGGACACACACTTCACAAGCAACTTTTGGAAGGAAACATTTCGCCTGCTAGGCACCCACCTCTATATGAGCACAGCCTACCATCCGCAGACTGATGGTCAAACCGAGCGAATGAATCGCTTACTGGAAGAGACACTGAGGCACTATATTTCGCCCACTCAGGATGATTGGGACGAACACCTGCCACTCATCGAGTTCGCTATTAATAACTCTAGGCAGAGCTCAACGGGTGCCACCCCGTTTAGCCTTAATGGTATCAAGCAGCCACGTGTGCCGGTTGACTTGCACCTAAAAACCAAAGTGCCTGCCGCTGACCTCTATCCCAAGGTCGTGCGCAAACGTATTGAAAACGCAAAACAGTGTCTTAAGGCTGCGCAATCCCGCCAGTGCATTGTCGTCATCAAGCATCGGCGTGCAGTGCGTTTTGAGGTTGGGGACTCCGTGCTGCTCAGCACCCGCAACATCCAGTTGAAATCTCCTGGAGCAAAGAAATTATTGCCTGAGTTTATTGGGCCATATAAGGTTGTCGCCCGAGTGGGAGAGAATGCGGTAAAATTGGGATTACCCACGACCTCCCGACTCCATCCGGTCTTCCACGTATCCTTGCTCAAACCATTCAAGGATGATGGAACACGACAACCGCCGCCCCCGTTCATAATTGACGAAGAGCCATATTACATGGTTGAGGCACTACTTGACCATCGTGATGTGAAAATCCGAGGTGGAACCGGCAAAACACGTCGAGAATATCTGGTTAAATGGGAAGGCTATGACTCCAGTCATAACACCTATGAACCGGAAGATTCCCTGCATCAGTCCGTTCCCCTGGCCGAAGCTATTGACGACTATGAACGACGGTTGGCGGCAAAACCCGGGCAACCTACACCAAAAAGGAAAGTGGTCCTGACCACATCTCCTTCGGTAGCACCCCGGAACATTACCCCAGAACAACCAAAACGGAAAGCACCTGCTCGCAAGAAAAGGTGACGCTCCTGGGACGGTTCGCTTCTGAGGGGGAGGGATGTAGCAAGCTACATTTAGAATATCTTTAAGCTATTAAGGCTTAATCACAGTAACGGTACGGTCCCGTATTTACAAACCATACTCGTTAACTGTACGAACTCACTTTCTGGTACGCTATCACAACCTAGCGTACGACACCAAGACTCCAGGAATGGAGACGGCGGCAGGTGGGCCGCATTTAAGCCACCCAGGTGAAGTGCTTCGGCCAGACACTTATCGTATCACTATACCAGTGTTCGGAGTCTCGAACATCCGTCACCGTTCTCGATGTATGTCTTCGAATCCCGACTTCCCTTGTCTCTTCTCGCGCCTAACGCTGGGTCGTCAATCATGGACGAGACCCTCCGCTTCCGCTCAAACAGCTAAGGTAAGAGACGGCTGTTACAGTAGCTCGTGGTACTGGGTTTAGCGGTGTATCGGAGATTTGCAATTGTTTCCACCCGAACCTATTCATGCATACGAGTATTGTGGGATAAACTGGACAAACTGCCGATGAAGTGTGGTAGGAAAACAGTAGGGCCTCGGCAACTGCCTTGGCTGGGTATTGCAATTGTGGCCCTGAGTGCTTGCCTCCCTACATTGCCTGAGTACTGTAACCAGGTGTGCAAGTTTTCCTGCTCCATGTCCTGGGATCAAAACCAATACGCACATGGGGCACTTGTAAGCGGTCCCCTTGCAAAGTTTCCCCGAGCCAATCCTGCCAACTTGACAGCCACTTCGACACCCTGAATACGCTAATTCGATATCCTGCAAGGCCAATTTGACACCCCGAACAGTTCAATTCGATACCCTGTCATTCTAATTCGACACCCTGTTAGGCCAATTCGGCACCCTGCCAGGCCAATTCGACACCCGGACAGGCCAATTCAGGCCCAGCACAGCCCAATTCCGAGGCTCCACAGCGCAATTCGAATACCTCCGGTGAGCCCGCCAGAACAATTCAAGACCTCGACAGACCAATTCTTTTGTCAGGAATAAAATCCAGGCTAATTCTGCGACAGAGCTCTTCCCCAATTGCAGCCCGGATCCTACCCTCCTCGACCACGCAGCGCAGGCACTAAGCCCTTAATGCCCCCGCCTTTCTTACGTCCGCTAGTCATTTTCATTGTCGTACAAGCACCCGTAGGGAGAAACTCGCTAGTCATTTTCATCCGTGTCGTACAGGCACCCCTAGGGAGAGTCTCGCTAGTCATTTTCGAACTGCAAATCCGTAATCTCTGTCGTAAAAGGCACTTGTTGGAGATTCTCCCTAGTCATTTTCGCGCGCTTCGGTATTAGTCGTACGAAGACGCCGAGTATATTACTATGCCTTCTACCGGCTTTGCAAATGAACAAAGTCTCTATCAGAATTCTGAATTTCTCGAAATAGTCGCTTACGTGCTGTCCGATTAGCAGTTCATCTTTATTAGCCATGTCTCATTTCACGACTTCGTTTGCAGCAGTTTACGCTGCAACGCTCATCATCCTTGCTGCCGGTGAGATCGGGTTCTACTGCGCATACGTTCTCATCTGTGCTCCTCGTTCACCATGCTTACCTGCATGCGATACCCTCTGTAGTTGATGGCATTCATTAATGTGGAATAGTTTATGTATGCTCTTGAAATTTTTGACAAACAATTCATGGAGCTCTGTCAGCGAGTACGCAACGTCATAAGCCGGTGCAACATACTCGCTTGCTCGATCATGAACGGAGAAAACATCCAACATCATTTGCAGCGCTGGGCGCTGCTGTCCTTCTTATTGGGTTGCTACTATTGCTCATGATAATACCTGGTGAGTAATAAAATGACTGGGGTGTTCGAA